TCAAAGTTCTTACAGCACCCGGTACAGGGCCTTACTCATAGAAGACTCCCAGATAAATATTTGTTGAATTGAATTGCTGCTTAATTCTTGGGGTAATTTTAAACTCTGTTTTTTCCTATTTACTTGTGAAAAACAGCAAGTCTTTCTACCCACCCCCAACTCTGTTTTACAAAGTGAGCTGTGTTGACTCATACTCAGAATGATGCTTAGACAAATAAGTTCTCTGAGAATCAGAAACATTTTATCATGGTTTGTGATTAGTAAATTGGAGAGGGGAAGTGGAGGAACTGAAATGTAATTGATTCAAGAAAATCAGATTAGGACACGTGCTTTTCTGAAATTTCACGAATCTTCAGATTACGTATTATTGGTTTGAATGCTTTTTGCTTTAGAAGTTTAAGAAGGGAGATGATGGAAGATTTTTTTTTTCATTTTCTCTCAGAAGTACTCCCAGTTGGGCAGCCATCTCCCACCTCCTTCAGGACAATGAAGCTCTCTGGATTTCCTCTCTCTCTTCTGTGTGCAACCCTTTTCCTGTGGCTAGCACATGCGGGGTCTCTCAAGAGGTGTCAGATCTCCATGGATGTGCATCAAATAGAAAAGAGCTTCCAGGGGATAAAAAATACAATTGTGAGTATGGGCTCAGGTGGGAGTGAGGGTGGGTACAGATATGCCCTAGGCAGCTAGATGGCTCAGTGGATAGAGCAATGGGCCTAGAGTCAGGACGATCCGAGTTCAAATTCGGCCTCAGACACTTACTAGCTGTGTGACCCTGTGCAAGTCACTTAACCTGTGTTTGCCTTAGTCCATGGGAGAAGGAAATGGCAAACTACTCTAGTATCTTTGCCAAGAACACTTCATGGACAGGATGGTATTCTCCAGGAAAATATCATAACAAGTAGCTGGCATTTATATGGCACTCTAAGGTTTGCAAAGAGCTGTCATCATCTCATCTCATTTGATCCTCACAACAGCCTTGGGAGAGAGGCACAATTATTGGCCCATTTTATGGATGAGGAAACTGAGGCAGATAGCACAACTTGCCCAGGGTCACCCAACAAATAAGTGGCTGCGATTAGATTTAAACTCTCTTCTTCCTGAATCCAGGTTCAGTGCTTTATCCATTGTACCACAAGAGTGTTGAATTTGGGGTTAGAAGACATGAGTTTCAATCTTTGTCTTTCTGTGTAACCTTGGATGAGTCAGTTAACCTTTCCAGGCCTCTAATTCCTCATCTGTATAATGAGGGGATTGGACTAGATGACCTTCAAGCTCCCTTTCTGCTCTTAGTTTATGATCCTGTGATTTGCTTATCACCTTTTCTGTCTCTCTCTCTCTCTCTTATATCTCCCTTTGTAGCAAACGAAGGATGTCTTTCAGAATGTCACCATCCTGTCTGCATCTGAGACCCTGTTCAACATCACGGTACTGACTTATGCAAACTACCTTTGTGTGGGAGAAACTCCAGTGGTCATTGGTCTCAGCACCTAATCCCCTCCCCTACCTTCCTAGCCTTTTCTCTAACCTGGCAGGCATTGAAAGGTTAACCAGGGGTGGGGAACTTAGGGCCTCAAAGCCACGTGTGGCCCTCTAGATCCTCAAGTGTGGCCCTTTGACTCAATCCAAACTTCACAGAATAAATCAGGGCAGCTAGGTGGACCAGTAGATAGAGCACCAGCATGGGAGTCAGTAGGACCTGAGCTCAAATCCGGCCTCAGACACATAACACTATTTATGTGACTCTGGCAAGTCACTTAACCCCAATTGCCTTACCAAAAAAAAAATCTCCTACTCTATGTCCTCAAGTTCAGCTCTTTGACTGAATCCAAACTTCACAGAACAAATCTGGATTCAGTCAAAGGGCCACACTTAAGGATCTAGAGGGCCACATGTGGCCTTGAGGCCACTGCTTCCCCACTCTGGTTAAGACCAACATGTGTCCTGAGGTCAGGAACTTCCTAGAACCTCTCTGAAATACGCTCAGAGGGGAAAGCTCTTTACTGGCAGAATCTGGCTCAATATTTAACTCCAAACCAATGCCTAGAAAGCACCATGGGGTGGGGGGGGCTGCATCCTTCCCAGGTTACCATTCATCTTTTAGTTGAACAAGGTGCCATTTATCTTTCAGGCTCTCTGTGCTTATAAACTCAGTTTCTTATTAAGTTACTCTACAGAACTAGTTATTTAGAGTCTATTGTCGTAAAACTGCAATACTTTGGAGGTCATTGGTTTTAGAGTGGGAAAGAGGTCACAGAGATATCTTTTTACGAATCCTTATTTTATGAATGAAGAAACCAAGGTCCAGAAAGTACTGGACTTGAATTCAAGAGACCTGATTCTGAGTCCCAAATCTAACATTTACTTGCTGTGTGACCTTGGACAAGTCACATGAACTTCAGTTTCCTCATCTATAAAATGGGTGTGATATCCTGTTCACATGGTAGTTTGCAGGCCCAAATGCGATAAAATATGAGAAAGTGATTTGTAATCTGCCTAGTGTCCTTTTAAAAATTAATTATTATTAGGTCACACAGGTAGTTTAGTGGCAAAGCTGGGAGTAGAACCCGGATCTCCTGACTGCCAGTTAAGTATTTGTCCTGCTATATCACATTGCCTTTCATTTTTTTTTTCAGGTTGTGATAGATAAAAAAATGCTTTAGAGAAAAATATGAGCATCTGAGAGATAAAGACTGGCTTCATGGAGGTAGCTCTTAAGCAAGGTCTTGAGGGAAGCTAAAGATTGTAAGAGGTAGAAGCAAGAGAAAGGACATTCCAGGAGGAGGGGACAGGACAGCCTGCAAAGGTGTGGAGACCAGAGTTGGAGATGTGGGAGGAACTGTTATTCCAGTCAGTTTGACCGGATTATAGTCTGTGTAAAGAGGAGTAATGTATAATAAAACTGGGAAGATGGGTCGACCCCAGGTTTTGAAGAGCAAACAAAGGAGTTTATCTTTGAGCCTAGAGGTAAGAGGGAAGCACTAGAATTTGTTCAGTAGGGCAGCTGACCTGGTATAAATTTGAGGATTTGGTTCTTCTGTCCTAGAGGTGCAGTATAACCACAAAAGGGGTAGTTGCTCCAAGACCCCCAGGTTTGACACCCAACGTTCCATTTACTATAAAGAAAAATCTCCATATGAAACAAAAGAAACATCTTATTGTTATTTTCAAATTAACTTAAGCGAAATCTATATATAATAGCTTTGTCTTTTGGTGTTATTGTATATACCTATATATTACTTCATAGATCTTCCCCTTGAGTTGTAACTAGGGCAGGGTAGTCAGGGCTTTGTCCCAGGGTATCAACATGGGGAGGTGTACTTCCTCCTTATGGTAGTCTAGAGACTGCATTTCATATTTCATCGTCATCTGCTGGCCTATGATTTCTTCGCTGTGGGTACCCCCTCCACCTGTGCAGATCATAGTCCTTCTTTGATTTAATAGAAATTATTTGACACTTGCTGTGATCCAAAAATTCGTCACCCTGAGGCCAATCTGGTGATAAGCCTCTAAGAATTTAGTTGCATTGGTCCTGGGATCCCAGCCATACAGTCTATTCCCAGGTTGTAATAGGAACCTTCTGAGTTTGGTAGGACCCACTGCAGTTGCTTTTTAGAGACCAGGACCTGCTTTTTATCTTGTGGAGACAGGACATTAATGGAGACAGAGGCATAACTAGGATTTTTTTTTTCATCAAGAGCAAAAACAGTTGAAGGAAGTACAGAGGCTCCAGAGCAAACAGTTTGACCATGGATATTTTTGTTGTTGTTCAGTTACTTCAGTCATGTCTGACTCTTTGTGACCCCATTTGGGGTTTTCTTGGCAAAAATACTGGAGTGGTTCGCCATTTCCTTCTCCAGCTCATTTTACAGATGAGGAAACTGAGGCGAACAGGGTTAAATGACTTGCCCAGGGTCACACAGCTAATAAGTGCCTGAGGCCAGATTTAAACTCAGGAAGATGAGTCTTCCTGACTCCAGGCCCAGCACTCTATCCATTGTACCACCTAGCTGCCCTATGGATATGGTTGTGCCATAAGAGGGGGCAGTCTATCTGCCTCTTCAGAGGCAGCTGGCAATACAGTGGCTAGAGTGCTATACCTGGAATCAGGAAAACCTGAGTTCAGATCTGGTCTCAGATACTAGATTTATGACCCAGGGTAAGTCACTGAACCTCTGTTTGCCTCAGTTTTCTCAACTGGAAAATGGAGATGATAAGAGCACCTACCTCCCAGGGTTGTTGTGAGGATCAAATGAGATCATATTTGTAAACAACATTTAGCCCAGTGCCTGGAATATAAGTGGTGCCACATAAATACTTATTTTCTCCCTTTTCACCCCACCACTCCTCTTGCTTCCCTCCTTTACCTTCTTCTGATGTTTGAACCACCACCCCCTTTCCCTATATATACCTCTATAGGGAGATCTGATATGGGCCAGGAGCAGAGAGGTATGAAACAATAAGAGGGCAATCTCTGAAAAGGCACAGAGAAAGTATTACTTCCCCCTCCTCTGCTGCCTTCCTCCTTCCCACCCCACCCCCACCCTCCATCTTCCCCATGTCAGGGTCCTTGGGGAAGGCCCTGGTCTAGTTAGGGTTCTGAGTGGAGAATGGACTATGCTAGTATTTCCAAATATTGGAGGTGGCTCCAAGTACCTGTGCTGCCCTAAGCCCTTATTGACTCTTTCTCTGGCCCAAGGTTCTTACTTGGCTCTGGATTACTTTGTCAAGGAATCCTATCTTTGATAGACCCAGAATGCTTGATCTTTAGCCGCCGCCCCCCCCCCCCCCCCCCCCCCCCCCCCCGTCCAAGGAATGAGGCATATGATTTCTGCATTCCAATTGCGGAGGTTTTGGATTGGTGTTGTGTTGTGTTTTGTGTTTTAAAGCCTAGGAAACAGACTGGGAGGCCTCCTCACTCCACTAGCTCTGGCTCTTTTCACGCTAATGAAGATAGATAGCTGGGTAGAGTCATTTATCCTTCTGACCCAGTCCCTGCCAGATGTAGTCAGCCTCCTCACAAATAGCCCTCCAGCTGCTGGTCTCAGCAAGAGGCCTGGAATATGATCTGCTTGAGTAAATGATGGAGGGCAGCCCAGCCAGTTTACTGAGGCATGCAGCAGGAGGCTTGCTGGAGGGGTGGAGCGCAGCAGGGCTGGGGCTGTCTGACCTGAAGCAGGCAAATCGCGATGATAGAAGGCAGATCTGGGTCTACTGTGGTTAGCTAGAATCTGATCTGCCCCATCTTAATTTTGTTGCTGGTGGCTGGGGATGGCAATGGGGGGAAGGACTGGGTTGGCAGGGACATCTTTTTGCTTTGAGGAGTCCCCACTGGATAGGTCTATGTGAACTGACACAATGTGCCTGTTCCAACACAAATCACTGTTGGGATGGTCTACAGCAATTGAAATACAACTTTAAGAGAGAGTGTGGTACGATGGTGAGTACACTGGCTTCTTTTCTTTTAGAGTCAGGAGATCAGGGTTCAAATCTTGTGGCTCAATTGTGTGATCCTAAGCAAGTCATTTCACTTGCTTGAACCTCAGTCTCCTTATTAGTAAATATCTACCCTATAGGTAAGGAAAGATATTTTGTAAAGCTTAAACAGCCTGTAGTGTGATTTGTTATTATTATAACTTTTTACTTATAATTGGTAAGAAATCTGTAACAGATTTTAGGTTTTTTAGAAAAGTATAGTCTTTAAAAGTGATTTAAGATTTGATTATGCTGAGGACTACAACTGCTGAAGCATCTAATAAGAGGATTAGATGCTGGCCTTCAGCAGAAAATTCTAGTTACTTAAAAGGTGTTGAATGAGGTTCCAAACAGCCTCAGGGTTCTGTCTTTGCTACTGATAAACCAGTGTTTCCAGAAGAGCAGCAATCTTTTGCATTTTCAGGTTCCTACCTAGAACCACTTTTTAAAAAAATGTTAAATTAGTCCAGCGTCCTTCAGTGTTCTGTTCCTGGGCCCTCTGATAGTGGCTGGCTGAGTTATCAAACAGTATTGCACAAGCACATGAAGGTATGATAGACAGACTATATCTGAATGGCCCCATGCTGATTGATAACTGAGCTAGCCAGTGGTGGTGGTGGTAGTTTCTTCCCCTTACATATCTATGGGCTTTATAACCATTTCTGGGCACCCAGCCCTGATGCTGCCCTTGCTCCAAGTTGGGGTTAAAGAGGAAATTACAAATTGGTAGTAGTAGGATGGGGAAAACAGAGGAGAAGTAACTGATATACTTCCTGCCCTCAAGAAATTTACAGTCTAATCTAGTAGGAGAGAGAAAACACACCTAAAATAATTAAAGAATGAAGTACTGAATTATATATTATTATTTCTAAGTTCTGTAGGAGTAAAGACAGGTATGTAACTCTGAGCTCCGAGACATGGAGTGATACATGACGGGAGCTAAAGTCCCATGGGGCAGAACGGAATCTCTTGGATTTGCAACCATGAGAATGAGCATCAGGACTCCAGGGGATGGTCACTGAGCCAAAATACAAGGTGGCAGATTTGAAAAGAAAGGAGCAAAAGCAGTGTGGACTGATGATCAGGGGCTACTTAAGTGGTAACGTAGCCACACAATTTCTCTATTTCTTAGAGCTGATCCTAATTCTTGATTTTTTATATTAAACTACAACAGGTCATAACATCTGGGTGATCTTTGTTTAGTCTTAATTGCTAAGAAGAGACTGCAATGGAGGGAGTCAGTGCCTGGTAAGGATTTGGTACAGAGAGGAAGACAGAGGTCTGATTCTTCTGCCTAAAATAACTAGGATTATGTAATTTTTTTTTTATCCTTCTTGAGAGCTCTGAGTAAAAATAGGGATTTTTGTGATTGAGATTTTTAATTACTTTTCATAAACTTCCCCAAAGCAAAATTTAAATTTCATCCAAGATTTGACTTTTGCCCCTCAGACTAAAAAAAAAAAAGTGGAGAGAACAGATAGCCGAAGTTGCCTGGTGAGGAGGAGGGGACGTTGTGGGTCATATTGTCTTTCCCTTCTCATCCATTATTTTCTCCCCAGTTGGGCTCAGTGGAGCAAGGGCGGTGACTGAGGAGTAGTAGCTCTTTATGATACAAGGAGAAAGGAATAGCCTGGGAAGAGTGATCATACCCCCAAATTCCAAAGGTAGGGGTCAGAAAAAGGAGCTAGTACTTCTCCCTTTTGCCTTTTGATTTCTACTTTAAATCTCTAAACCTTGTCAGACCTTGCCAGTAATCTGGGAAGGTTTTCTGGAAGAGGGGGACCAAACCTTAAATGAATGGGGATGTAAAGACAGGAATAAGACTGAAATGATGGGAGTGGAAGGTTGGTATTAGGGAATATTAGGAAAGAAGGTTGGGAAGAGAAGGGTAAGACTAAATTGTAGAGAGCTTTGTTGGAGCCAGGTGGAATTTGAGTTTCATCTTGTATGCAAAAGGAAAGTCCTTATAAATTCAGCTTGGAATAATTAAAGTGGTGCAGATTATAGAGTTGTGTTTGTTTGTTTGTTTTGGTCTGGCAGTGATAGGAGCTGGAGGCAGGGGAGCTCCTCCATTAGATTGTGAGCTCCTCGGGGGCAGGGACTGTCTTTTGCCTCTTTTTGTACCCTCAGCACTTAGCACAGTGCCTGGCACATAGCAGGCATTTAATAAATGTCTATTGATTGACTGATCACATAGAGGTGAAGTAATAAGGAGTCTTTTGCAAGTAAAATACAAGTTTTTTTTCCCTTCAAAATCTTGATTATCTAATTTAGCTGATGATCAGATTATCTAGTGGCCTGTCCTTTTTGTCAGTTTAAAAAAAAATTAAATTTTTTTTAAGGCAGTTGGGGTTAAGCGACTTACCCAGGGTCACACGGCTAGTAAGTGTCAAGTGTTTGGTCTGAGGCTGGATTTCAACTCAGGTCCTCCTGACTTCAGGGCCGGTGCTCTATTCACTGCGCCACCTAGCTGCCCCCCAAAATTAATTTTTTTATCAGCTATTTGAATGAAGAATGCTGCTCCAATTTGGAGGGTACAACTCTAGGAAGAATAATATGTTGACTGAGAGAACTGAGATTTGAAAAGGTCTGAGTGGGCTAAAACAAAGGCCCATAGCTAACAAGATGAATGTGATGGGGAGAAGCTCAATAACTGTCAAAAATGGGAAGTTGTTCTTTAAAAAAAAAAAAATTAATTTCGTTTTAGGCTGCTTTAATGTCCAGAATGAGGAAGATGAGTGCCTTACTTTGTCCTGGGCTGATCAGACCACAACTGCAGGATTGTGTTCAGTTGAGGGGATGGAGATGGGGATCATATTTTTTAAAACAAACTGAAGTTTGTCCAAACTAGGGTGACTAATACAGTGAAGGGCCTTGTAACATTGCCATGAAGACCATCCCAGGAATCAGTGTCTAGCACAACTAGCCAGTACCTCCTAGCACGTAGTGAGCACTCAAATATTTACTGATTGGCTACCTGGGGTGGTGCAGTGGATAGAGCTCTGGCTGGTCTGGAGTCAGGAAGACTCATTTCTTGGATTCAAATCCCACCTCAGATACTAGCTGTGTGTCCCTGGGCAAGTCACTTAACCCCATTTACCTCAGTTTTCTCACCTGTAAAATGAGCTGGAGAAGGACATAGCAAATCAATCCAGTATCTCTGCTAAGAAAACCCCAAATGGGATCACAAAGGGCTTGATATAACTGAAAAATGACTGAACAAAAGCCTAGAGAAGTCTCCAGAGAAATACGATAACTGTCTTCGAAGGGCTTCCATGTAGAGGAGAGAGTAAGCTTACTTTGCTTAGCTCTAGAAGGCAGAGCTAGGAGCAACAGATAGAAATGGCAGAGAGCCAGGTTCAGGCTACTTACAGCCCTCCATTCCCCTCCCCTCCCCTCTCCTCCCTCCCTTCTTCTGTCCTCTCCTCTCATAATCCTATCCCACTTCTGATCAGCGTAGAAGTTTTCACTTACTCTGCTTCCAGCCTGTCCCGGCCCTTCCTTCTGCAGCCTGGTAGCCCCCTACTCTCTTGGGCTCACCATATTGGGGCCATACAGTGCAGATACCAGATTGGCTTAACCCGTTAAAGTTCAGAACTCCCAAACTCAAGTGATCCCGCAGCCTCAGCCTCCTGCAACAGCAGAGATTATAGATGTGCACTATGACCCAGATACTGGTTTGAATGAAACTTTGAAACAATTAGAGCTATCTAATAATGGAGTGGGCTGCCTTGTGTGGTAAAGGGCTCCCCTATCACTAGAAGTATTCAAGCAGAAAATAGATAATCGCTTGTGAGAGATGTTGTAGAAGGAATTTCTGCATTGGGTGAATTAGATGACCTCTAGAGTTCCTTCCAGGAGGCAGCTAGGTGGCTCAATGAATAGAATGCTGAATCTGGAGTCAGGAAGACCCAAGTTCAAATCCAGCCTCAGACATGTATTAGCTATGTGACCCTGAGCAAGTCACTTAACCTGTTTGCCTTAATCCACTGGAGAAGGAAATGGCAAACCACTCCAGTAGCTTTGCCAAGAAAACCCCTACCGGATCATGATGAGTCGGATACAACTAAACAGCTGAACAACAACAGCATCAAAGGAAAATTCTACACCCCGCTCCTGTCCCCTAAAACACCCTGTTCTATTCCTCTCTTTCTTTGGCCCTGGCTTGGTAGAGGAGGAGGGTGAACCTACTGAGAAATTCTATTTAAAAAGAAATCTCTCAGTAAATTTGGATTGCCCAGGCTTCCTCTGGTCCCAACTCAGCCATCCTGATCTCTGAGGGCATGGGGGGGGAATAAGATTCCGTGGGCTGGTGACTTTCTCCAGGAAATGAGAATTTCTATGTCTAGCCCTCAGATGTATGCTGCATGACCAAAAACATCCTAGGGTTCTACGTGGACAAGGTCTTCAGGAATCATGAGGAGTCAGACCCCAGAATCCAGAGGGGTCTCAGTACCCTTGCCAATTCTTTCCTCCGCATTCGGAATGCCCTGGAGCAGTGCGTGAGTAACCATCTCACCAATTAAACGTGTTCAGCCTATTTTTTTCGTTGGGGGAATAAGCTGGGCCATGTTTGTTTACCCATTTGGCAAATATTTTTTTAAGTCCCAGTTAGGTACAGAGCTCTGTGCTAGGAAGGGAAGGGAGGGGAGGGGACAACAGGAGGAGGGGAGGAGGAAGGGAACGGGAGGAGAGAGTTTTCTATGCATTATTTCATTTGCTCCTGTGAGATGGATTGCACAGGTCACTAGTATTCCCATTTTAAAGATGAAACTGAGGCATAGAGAGATTAAATAAATGGCTTAATGTCAGATAGAAAACATGTCAGAGAGCTGAGATGTGAACTGAAGTGCTTTGATCCCAAGACTAGTCCTTTCTCCTCTACAATACAGTGCTTCTGAAGAGAAGCTGAAACTTAGGACCAAGATAAGCCATTCTGTCTTACACAGGCATTTCCTTACCCCATTGCCTTCTGGGGACACTGTCAGTGGTTACTTCTCTGTGTGTCCTCCTGGTTTTTGCTCTGCCTATACCCAACTCTTTAGCCCCTTCTCCCCCTCAGAAAGGTGGGAGGATGTGACCAGTGTAGACTTTCTTAGACCTAGACACCTAAAAGTCCTCAGGTTAATTGACAACCAAGAAATTTAGGTGATGGTGATGAGCTAATGGGGAAAGAATGAGGTCTGAGGAATCCAGCTTTGCTACATCAGTAGCCTGAATTATAGACTCTTTGGGGTTTCCTCTCCTGTTCTAGCTCCTTTCCAGTTTGTGGGCAAATCCTTCTGAGTAGTGTATCCTAAACCAAAGATTCTTACATGTATTCAACATGGATGGGAGAAAAGCAGGGGACTGGAAATCAGGGCACCTGGGGCACTGGTCTTGGTCTTTTCTCTAATGGTGTGGACTAGGACAAGCCATTTTATTACTTTGAGCCTCAGTTTCCTCCTTTGTCAGATGGGACTATTGCTACCTTGCAGAGCATTGTAAAACCCAAATGAGATGATAGATAGGAAAGCACTTTTGAAATTCTTTACAACTGTCAAGAAGTAGTATTAATGTTAATATCAATTAATTATTAATATAGTACTTGGTATTAATTAATATTAATAGCTAGTATTTATATAGCACTTTAAGGTTTGCAAGCCACTTTACAAATATTATCTTATGAGACCCTCACAGCAATCCTGGGAGATAGGTATTATTAAGTAGGCAGCTAGGTGGCACAGTGGATGGAGCACTGGGCTTGGAATAAGGAAGACTCATCTTCATGAGTTCAAATCTAGCCTCAGACACTAGCTATATGATCCTGGGCAAATCACCTAATGCTGTTTGCCTCAGTTTCCTCATCTGTAAAATGAGCTGGAAAAGGAAATGGCAAACCACTCCAGTATCTTCACCAAGATAATCCTAAGTGGAGTCACAAAGAGTTGGACATGACTGAACAACAGCAAGGTGCTATTATTATCCCTATTTTTACAGATGAGGAAACTGAGGCAAATACAGATTATGTAACCTGCCCAGAGTCATACGGTAAATGTCTGAGGCAGGATTTGAACTCAGTCTTCCAGAATATAGGTTCAGCAATCTATCGCGCCACCTATCTTCTATCAAACTTAAATTCGGATTCTACTCAGCAGCCTTCCCTTACCCTCCTAGATACTGGTGTTCCCTCTTCTCAAATGTGTGACTTCATCACTGTGGGCCTCAGTTTCCCCATCTATAAAACAAAGGGTCTAGACTAAATGGCCTTTATAGTGCCATCTAGTTCTAAATCTATGACCCTGTGGTTTTGTATGTATTATCTGGATACATAATATAATCTCTGGTTAAATGTGGATTGATAGAGCTGTAGTGAGAAGGGACCTCAGAGGCCATCTTCATTTTACTGGTAAGGCAACTGAGATCTGGAGAAATTAAGTGACTTGTCCAAAATCACACACAGGAAGTAATCCTTGAACCCAGATCCTCTGACTCTAGGGTTCTTCCTACTATGCTAGGGAAGGGACAATTTCATTTTTGTATCCCTATCTCCATTGGTGAGCATAGTGCCTAGAACACAGTGGGCTCTTAAGAGATATTTATTCAAGTTCCCCAAGGTTCTTTGGGCTCTTCTTTGGGAAAGTCCAGCATTTGTTCACTTGTGCCTTTCACCATGGGAGAAAATGTTAGGTTGTGGGATGGGTGTTGGGTTGTGGGATGAGTGTTGGGTTGTGGGATGGGTGTTGGGTTGTGGGATGGGTGTTGGGTTGTGGGATGGGTGTTGGGTTGTGGGATGGGTATTGGGTTGTGGGATGGGTGTTGGGTTGGGGAGGGGTAATGTTGAGATGGTTTGGGGGAGGGGAACCTAGGCATGTGGTGGGGATAAACTCAGGTCCAGACCATCCTCATCACTTGGGATTTCTTCCCCTGTTTGCCGCAGAAGAATCAGAGGAACTGTGACTGTCGAGAAGAAGCCACCGAGAAGTTTCAAATCATTGTTGGAAATTATGAGCAGGTAACTAGGCTGGGGACTGGAGGATTGTGGACACAGATGGGCCTGATCAGCCTTATGAAAGAGCCTACCTCATAAACCACTCAGCCCCTCCCCCATGCCAAGGCAATTCTCATTTGGAATTTGCATTAGCCCCACCCAGACATCCCACCTGATTTTTGCAACTTCAGATACCAACTTCTCCAGCCCCTACCACAAAAGCTGGTCTCAGCAAACATTTAAAGTAGTGTCAGAGATTGGGAAGAGCTCTGGATAGAAGACCCGAATTAGAACCCCAGCTCTGCCACTCCTCAGCTATGGTTCCTATCTTGAATGGAGTCCCACTTGATAATGCCTATTGAATGAAGGAATGACCTTCATACAAGTCATTTGTATCTCTGAGCCTTAGCTTTCACATCTATGAAATGGGCATAATAATATTTGTACTACCCGACTGAAACAGAAATTCTCATCCTTCCAGAGGAGCAGCTTAGGTTCAAGGTCTGGCCCTGCAACTAACTAGCTGTGTGATCTAAGACAAATCATTTCCTTTCTCTGGACCTCAGGTTCCTATCTGTCAAATGAAAATAATGATGTCTCCTAAATAATAATGATTTAGAGGGTACTTGAAGGTCTTCTGAAGTAAGGAGAATGTGGGAGCATGTTTACTACAGGAAGCATGTCCCAAAGATTTCAGCAAATCTGCACTAAGACTTTTGGGACACTGTATATAAGAGAGTCAGGTGTGCGAACTGGCTTGAGAAGTAAACCACCCTAGAAAGAAAAGCGTGATAAGGGGGGAAAGATTACATTATGCTTATACAGAATGGCCATGTGCTTATTTCAACAATCAAACAACTATCCAATGCCCCATATGTATCGTAGTATGCTAATCACTAGGATACAAAGAAAAACTGACCCCTGCCCTCATTCTACTAAATGAATGTTTGCCAATTCTTTTTTTGGGTGGTAGGTAAAGAATTGTACTTATCTGTATGAGGCAAGGAGAGACAGCATAATGGAAATCACAGTTGACCTGGGTTCAAGTTCACCTCTGACACATATTGACTATATGACTCACCATGGTTAGTTATTTACCTTCTCGGTGCCCCCAGGCAATTCTGTAAGACTAGAAATTACCCAGTACTGTCCACTGGGCATGACCATCTGGTGGTAAATGGGGGCAGTCTCTTCATCAGGAAGTCATTATGACAATAAAATTACATGTCCAGAATGAAATATATGGTACACACATACACACATACACACAAATTTGTTGTTGTACAATCATTTCAGTTGAGTCTGACTCTTCATGGTCCCATCTGGGGCTTTTTTCTATTTTTAATTTTTTATTAATTCATTTATTTTTATATTTATTATACCACATTTATATTATTTATAATATATTAATAATATCATATTAACATTATATTATATTTATTATATTCATTTTTATTAATTTATTCTGATTTATCAATAATCACTTCCATATGCTTTTGAATTTAAAATTTAAAAATTTTCTAAAAAAATTTTTCTCCCCCTTCCTCCCCATCACCCTCCCCAAGACAGCGCACAATCTGATATAGGCTATACATTTACATTCCTATTAAACATATTTTCACATTAGCGTTTGGGGTTTTCTTGACAAAGATGTTGGAATGGCTTGCCATTTCCTTCTTCAGTTTATTTTACAGGTGAGAAAACTGAGGCAAACAGGGTTGAATAGCTTGCCCAGGGTCACACAGCTGGTGAGTGTCTGAGGCCAGATTTGAGCTATGAGTCTTTCTGACTCCAGGGCAGGTGCTCTGTGCACCATGGCGCCACCTAGTTGCCCCAGAAGGGATCTTAGAGACCAAGTAATTTAACCCTTACTTTTTTGTACATGAAGAAGGTGAATAGAGAAAAAAATGCTTTGAAAAGTATAAAGTGCTACACAATATCAGTGTGGTGACAGATGATTATTAATTATTATTCTAGATGGAGGTCAAAGCTGCAGCAATTAAGGCTCTGGGAGAACTAGATATTTTACTATCCTGGATCATCCGGAACTACCGACCTAAGGCTGCTACTAAGTGAGGCCGAAGAACAATTCTCTACCCTTAGAAGCAAAGCTGAATATGGGGGCCCTAACCAGTGTGGTGACCACACTCTCTAAGAAACAAAAATCAGGACTTGTGAGTTGCAAAGGAATAACCCTTTGCCAACATCTCATTAAAAAATCTATGTGATTTTCTTGAAATTAGAAAAGAGCTGAAAAATTCAGGACATGTGGTCAACATAACAGTGATGATTAGGCCAAATTTGGGGGGGCGGGGAGGGATGGGTGTGAAGGTAGGGAAGGATGATGGGAAGTATATTAAGTCTACACAGAATATTTGTTTTTGTCTTCACTGAAGAGATTTATGGGGAGATGCTGGGCTTGGATAGAGGCAGGCAAGAACCCTGGCTATGACATGGAATTCCATTGGCTGCTGTCAGGCTGTCCAGTCCCACTTGGAAGATGTCTTTCTCTGAAAGTTGCCAAATAGTTTCCTGCTCTATTTATGCCTTTTGGATGTACCTGTTTTGTCCCTTGTCATGTCTATGGGATGGGAAGGTCCTGGCTTCCCTCTAATTTATTGTGACATTGTTTGCCCCATGTCTGTGATGTCAGCTGGGCGATATCTGGGTAGTACATATTGTACCAAGTGTTCACCGCGCTTAAATAAACTCAGTTCTTCACCACCCCCAGGGAAGCGTGTTCTTTGCAGACAAGACTGTGTGGGGAGGCTTGGACTTGTACAATGTTGGGGCTGGAAAGGACCTTAGAGGGCATGTAATTTAACCTCCCCTCCTCTTTCAGATAGATGTCTGATAGACGTCTTCAAATATTAAGGGTTGTAATAATAATAACTTTCATATGCCACTTCAACATTTGCAAAAATTTTACAAATATTATCTCATTTGATCCTAAGAATACCTCCAGGATGTAGGTGCTATTATTATTCCCATTTTACAGATGAGGAAACTGAAGCAAAGAAAGACTGAGTGACTTGCTCAGCATGATACAACTAGCACTATCTGAGCCCGGATTTGACCTCTGTTCTTCCTGACTCTAGCTGTAGCACTGTATCTACTATTTCACCTAGATGTCAATAAGATAGCTAACATTTGTAGAGTACTTCAAGGTTTGTAACATATATTACAAAGGATCGTAGATGTAGAGCTAGAAGGAATTTTAGAAATCACCAAGTCCAATGCCCTTATTTTACAGATGAGGAAACTGAGGCAGAAAGCAGTTGAGTGATTTGCACAGGGTCACACTGTTAATTGGTACAAGGGATAGAGTGCCGGGCCTGAAGTCAGGAAGACATCTTCTTGAGTTCCAATCTGGCCTCAGATACTTATCTGTACGGTACAGATACATGTGCAAAAAGAACTGGAAAAGGAAATGGCAAATCACTCCAGTATGTTTGCTAAGAAAACGCCAAATAGGGTCATGAAGAGTCAGACACAACTGAAATGACTAAACAACAAACACTGTTAATTATTAAGTATCCACAGTCAAATTTGAACTCAAGTCTCTCTGACTCCAGGAACATCTACAATTACTGCTACTACTACTACTATCACTACTACTACTACTACTGCTACTGCTATTGCTACTACTACTATTACTACTACTACTGCTACTACTGCTACTACTATTACTATTACTACTACTACTACTACTACTACTACTACTATTACTACTACCACTGCTATTAGCTTACATTACTATGTAAATAATTTACTACGTAAGCAGTCAGTGCACTAAGCACTTTATATTTATTAGCTCATTTAACCCTCAAAACAACCCTTAGAGGTAGAAGCTATTATTATTTCCATTAACACATGAAGAAACTGAGGTTGAGTGACTTGTCCAGGGGGGCACAGCTAGAAAATATCTGAAATATATGGATTCAAACTCAGGTTTTCCTGACTTCAGGCCTAGTGCTCTAACCATTGCTGCCTCTGCCACTACACTGATCAGATTGGTCCCAAAGTGGAACTGGCTGCCTAACAGAGAGTGGGTTTCCTATCGCTGAAAGTGCTCAAACTGAATTCTTGTTGGGAGCGTTATAGGAGGAATTCCAGGTTTGGTTGGACTCAGTGAAGTTTCTGAAGTCCCTTCCCAGTATGAGACTCTGATCCTAATATGAGGAAATAAAAGCAAAGAGACTCACCCAGAATTCCAGAGCTAATTAATGATAGAGTAAGATAGAGAATCAGGCCTCTTCCCTCTCGGTCCAATGCTCTTCCTGGTGCAGCCTGATGGGGAGCCAGAATTAGACCCTCCTTCCTCCACTACCCCCTCTCCCTCCGAATCCTCTTCTGTTCTAAATGTATGCTCCCTTCTCCCTTTTCATCCAGAAGACGCGGAACCTACCGTCTCACAAAGATATATCCTTGGGACGACAGTGCTGGATGGAGTGATAACTGAGAGGGGGTAATTGTCAGGCAACAAAGAAGCTAGAAATTTCAGAGTAGGGGGGAAGTCTGGGGTTAGGCATTGGATACACAGGGAAGGTGTTGGCATTCTTTGGGGACACAGCTTTGGCCCTCTTATTTATTTATTAGTAATAGTAATACCTAGCATTTTCATAATGCTCTAATATATGCAAGGAACTTTATAAATATTGTTTCACTTCATCCATGCCTGACCATTTTAATAATAGTAATATCTAATATTTATGCAGCACTTATTGCATGCCAGGCATGTAGGGTTTGAGGCTAGTAACTCTCTTAGACTCAGTTCCTTCATCTGTAAAATGAGAGTGTTAGACAGGATAATCTTTGAGGTCCCTTCTGGTTCCAAATCCGTGATTGGAGTACAGTCCTAGAGCAGGGGTGGGCATTTTTCATTTAAGTCCCTTCCCCATCCTGGATGTCACCAGCAGTGGCTCCAAAGTCTTATCTGCTAGTTCTCTCAGGACCCAAGGATGTAGCTCATCTTTCCCATCTTTGATGAATTAATTCATCAAAGACATCTATGTGCTCACTTATCTGGTACATCAACTTTGTTAATTATTAATCATACTATATATATATACATATATATATGTATATACACGTTATATGTAGTACATTGATTATATTCATATGTTTTCAATTATTACATAACAAAATGATCATTTTTGCTCTGTCACTTTAGGAAGCTGAAATGTGTTTAGCACAGTGCCTGGTGATAGTAGGCATTATATAAATGTTTTTTCCTTTCCCTTCCAACCTTGTTTCTAGTGTAATTGTCTTTTTAGAGAAAATAGGAACAAAATAAAAATTAAGTAGCACTGCCTTTTCTTTGTTGCAGTGGTCATCCACCCTGAGCAAAGCTCCTATCCCTTCTTTCATCCTTTGTCTACAAAAATAGCTTTTAAAAAAGTGAAAAACCAAATCTTTTCTATTTGCATTAGCTTTCCTTGCCAGCCTCAACTCCTCCAGAGCTTTAGTGTACACTAGTGATTCTGTTTTTTACAGGAATTTGCCACACTCATGTATTTCCTTTCTGAACAGGTGGTCTGTAGTATACTTCAGTGACAAGATCACTTGTTTATCTCCCCCATTAACTTTTACCCAAATGCTTGTCATCATGTTTTCTTTCTCAGGTTCCTGTATTTCCTCACATGAGTATACCTTCATAATATTCACTACTAACCACACACACACACACACACACACACACACACACACACACACACACACACACACCCCTTTTCCTATCCCATTTCTTTTGTACAAGGTATAACCATCCAGAGCCATAGTGCAATTGTGGATTTTATCCTATCACATCTCAACAATACCTATGAGGTCTAATTTGCCTCCTTAGTTAATATAATTAATAATAGTACCTCTGATTTCCCTTGTTACCTAAAATTTGGTCATTTGTGTATAAACATATGAGCTCATGGGTTTTATTATAGGTTCTTTTCTTGGATTTTTATCTTCTTTGAATATCTACCTCTGAGCTGCTATTCCTGCTTTTTTGTGGCTACTCTACAACACCTCACTTAGGTATATATATATATATGGCATTACATATATATATATATATATATATATATATATATTATATATATATATATGTATGTATCTGATATGTGTGTATGTAATATGTATATGTGTATATATGTCATATGTGTATATATGAGACACACAAACACACACACATAGAGTCTTCTCCCTCCTCCATCCCTTTTAGTTTATCCTCAGTTTCTTTGAACTTCTTGTGAATGTCTAGTCCCCACCCCTGGTTTAAGCTTTCATCATCAATTATTGCTCTTAATACTTGACCACACCCTCAAATTACCCTTTCTTTGTCTTACTATCTCCACAGTTACAGCCTCGCTCACCTCCCCTTCAGCCCTGCATCAACCACCAGTCTATTTCACCAATCTGCCCCCCGCATCAATCTAACAACAGCAACAACTTGCATCATATATGGCTCCAACTATGTGCCAGGCACTGTGCCAAGCACTGCACAAATATTATCTCAGTTGATCCTCGTGACAACTCTGGGAAGTGGATGCTCTTATTATCCCCATTTTACATTTAAGGAAACTGAGATAAGTAGAGGTTAAATGACTTGCCCGTGGTCACACAGCTAGCAAATGCCTGAAGTTGGATTTCCACTTAGGTCTTCCTGATGCCAGGCTCATAACTTTATCCGTTGTATCACATAGCTCTGTGTAAATCCACTTATGTCAGTTTTCTCTTTGTTGTTGTTTTGTTGTTTCAGTGTCCATTTGGGGTTTTCTTGGCAAAGATACTGGAGTAGTTTGCCATTTCCTTCTCCAGCTCATTTTATAGATGAAGAACTGAGGACAACAGGGTTAAGTGACTTGCCCAGGGTCACACAGCTGGTAAATTCCTGAGGTCAGATTTTAACTCAGGTCTTCCTGACTCCAGGCCTGGCACTCTATCTAATGAGCCACCTACCTGCCAATTTTCTTAATCCTTTAATTGTTCTATTTACTTTTTCTCACTTATCTAGCCTAGCCTTTCCAGCTACCTTATTCTTACCTTTCAGGAATCTATCCTTCCAAATTCTATTCTCTAACCCTCCTTAATCCTTAAAAAAAAATCCTCCTTAACCAACAACCATACTTTCTGGCTCAGTGGGATTATGTCATAAGGATTCTTCATAGGTATTGGAGAA